GCTGAAGTCGACAAAGAGGGTCCATGCATAGGTCCCTGGGGAGTCGAGGTGTTGCAGGATGTAATGCAGTGTCATGTTCACTGCATCATCCACTGACCTTTTTGCCCGGTCGGCAAACTGCAGGGGGTCTAGCAGGGGGTCTACGATGTCCTTCAGGTGGAACAACACCAGTCTTTCAAATGACTTCATAACTACAGATGTCAGGGTGACAGGTCTGTAGTCATTCAGTCCACTGATGGAGGTTTTCTTGGGGACTCCATCTTTGATTCAAAGCAGTTTATGTATCACATAGATAATATTCCCTTGATTGCTTCTTGGGTTCCTTCCCTCCAAAATGAATAAGCTTTGGTTTGCAATCAAACCCCTATTTTATGTTTGGTCATAACTATATAAACATTATAGGATCAATTTTATCCTAAATATTAGGATAAAATACTCCTACCTCATCTGAGCATCTTAATATCTGGGCTGCACACAGAGACATGTGCATGGAGCTGTGTTGGTGATGGCGTGTGGTTGAATGAAACAAATGAAGTAATTTTGCTCATTTTTGCTTGGTTTTGGTGCCGTTTATGATGGACATAACACAGCAGTCCATAGCATTTTAGTGAGAAGTTGTTAAAATTTACAACATCAAAACAACTAGAAATGTGGGGAGTTTCAATTCAATAGTGGCCATAACATTAGAACTGTATTAATATTACTAGGGGGAAAAAAAAACATTCCTCTGTATAAATTTGCTTGTGTTACTGCAGATACATCTGTTACAAATAATGTCAGACATACATATGCATATCAGTAAAATATAGACCTTTATTTGACATTGTGTCACCGCAATGCCATTGAAAACCACAGCCTCTGTATTCTGTATACATTAGTTCTGGAGCTGGTTATTACTGCTGAGCTGCCTGACTGCCACAACTGTCTCTGGCTGTCGTGACCACATGTAACCTAGTTTCACAGACAGGGCAGGAGGGGCAAGGAGGAGCAGAGCGAGACGAGGAGACGATACTGCTTGAGTTTGTTTTGACTCTCACTTTGGTCTTAACGGTTGGAAATGAGAGGGAGAGGTTAGTTAATGCAGCTTTAATGCTCAACATCTATTAGTTTTAACTCCAACATGATCCATTCAGTTTCAGTCACCATTGTTTGTGAGTGATGACAAAACACACGCCACTGGCAGAGAAACTGAATGGATCATGTTGGAGTTAAAACTAATAGATGTTGAACCCTTCAGTTTCAGTTTCAGTCACCATTGTTTGTGAGTGATGACAAAACACACCACACTGGCAGAGAAACGCCGCTGCCAACTAGTGTTCTGGCAGTGTAACTGCAGAATGACACAGCAACACCAGTACACAAATATAAATGCTCACAACGGCGTGGGCCACTTGTGTATCCTGCAGTGTAGGCTCCACACAGATTCATAGCAGAACCATAAATCAAGCTTTAGGCAAATATATCATTAAACTTAGCATACTAACATTTGCTAATTGGCTCTTAACAATAAATGCAACTAAGGCAGATGGGAATGCTATTAGTTTTGGATGTATTTAGTTATAAACCAAGATAACACTAGATTTAGTATTAGAATTTATTCTTTTGGAACCAAAAGTGTCTATACCACATTCTAACAAAGCACAGAAAATGCTTCAGGAAACATCAGGGCATCACAGGTCTGTAGGATTCATTCTTTTATGAGCATGAATGTCTGCACAAGATTTCATGGTGATGCATACAGTTGTTCAGATATTTCACTCTGGTTCAAAGTGGTGGACTGTTTGACCGGCCCTACCATCTCTAAGACCACAGTGCTAGCATGGGTAAAAATGCTATCTACTGACTACACAGCACAGGTGGGTGTAAATAGTGCCTCAGTGCTCCCAGGTGATATGCTGCTGTCTTCATAATGCATGTTACAGTCAAATCAGACTGCTTTTCATGGGCTATTTGCATCATGGACACAATGTATTCAGAACAGCCAGCAGGAGTGCCCACTAAGAACTAGAAAGAACTACCTGAAAAGCCAGATCTCACCTGATGTTGGAGGCTTGCTCAGTGAACTCTGTGGCTACAAGGGAGAAGTATTTTCTCATCTTGATCCAAAGGTTGGGTTTGGGAATGCAGCCGTTGTGTGCATGGATTGCATGGATACGGGCCATCTCCCTGGCTATCAGTCTAAGAGGAGACACACACAAAGATGAGTAAAGCTATCATGACAGGGTTTCAACATAAAATGCGTACATTACTGACTATGCTATCACCAACAGTCCAGGGACAGACAGCACTGCTACAAGATTAAGATATTTTTATCTGCAAGGTTAGCTGAGGACGTCTCTCTTGCCAAGTTCTGGAAAAAGTCTAATGACATCAAGTGAAACATTATGAAGCACGCACTGCGCTGACACAGACAATGGAGTGTTTAACAAAAAGCACCAGGGTCAATGTGTGTTCCCAGATAAATTGTTGACTACTTTGGCCAGATTGTTGTCATAATAAAGTGAAATGAGCAACTTCTATGGAGAACGTAGAAAACACAAAGGATTCTGAGTGCTATGCTACGTGACACAGTCTTATATTTATACCAAGATAAGTCTAAAAATCCCAAACAATCCGTTGACCATGTCCTGACCTGAGTAGGGCAGGATCCCTGACATCCTGTGTTCCGAGAGCATCCCCCTGCATGAACTCATAGCAGATGCCATTCTGAAAGGTGCAGTAGAGGCGGGGAGCACAACCATTAGCATATAACACCTAGAGGAAAAACAAATACACGCAACACATCATTAGTTGGTAGAAGCAAACCTTTAGCAAAAGACAGCACACACTCCCTGTTCCCTCCCTCTACCTGAAAGCTTTTGAGCTCATTGTCTCTGTCCACAATCAGCTCTGTCTTGTTCCCATACACTCGGACCAGGACCACATCCTCTGGGCTGTCATCCACGTAGTAGCCGACCAATTTGTTAGTAAGTCCATCAGTGAAGAGCTGGAAGAAAGAGAGAGAGTGTAAAAGAAGTCTTATAACCACTCACAGGGATACAGATGAAAACCCTTGACCTCTGGTTGTATGTCGCCAGAGTGGTTCCCTAACTAAATCTTGAATCGAGCATTCTCTATGGTCATTTTACAGAGCTATCAGTTTTTGGGTTGGGATCAGCAGTGCAGACACCTTGCAACCCTGAGTCACATGACATAAATGCATTACAGAACAACATTCTTAATTGAATCAGATCACATGTGCCTTCTGCCCACAAACAGAAACAGACACAGAATTCTGTAGTAAGCAAAAGCTTCAACCATTTTGGGCCTTCTCTCAAACAAACAATGCTTTCCTGACAAACTGGAGTGTCCACATATGCAGAGGAGTTGTTGGCTTGCTACTTTCACTCTGCACTCCAACTCCTCCCAAACCATCTCAGTTCCTTCATCCACAGCAGTCAGGCTTTACACCCGCTGCTGATATGAATGACATATCACTGTAATCCTGAATGCAGGTTAGGTTAACTGGTGATGCTAAAACTGCCCGCAGGTGTGAATGGCTGGCTGTCTGTGTCAGCCCTGTGAAAGGCTGGTGACCTGTCCAGGGTGTACCCCGCCTCTTGCTCAATGTCAGCTGGAATTGGTACCAGCCCCCCATGACCTTCGTTAGGTTAAGCAGTATTGATAAGTGATGGTTAGAGGGAGAGTGCAACTGTCACAAATAGAAAAAAAAGGTTATGATGGAATCTTGCATGAGTTCTAAGAACTCTTCTGCAGGGTGGTGCTGGTATTTCATCGATGAGTCAACAGATTGTCACTTCTAGCATGAAGAGTAAGCAAACAAAATCCTCTGTCTGAAGCTAGGCCTTAAATATCTGCATGGCAGCAACACTCCACTGGAAACCAGCGGGTCAGTTTATCCCACTGCAGCCAATACAACAAAATCATACACATCTCCCCTGGCCCAGATGCTCACTCACACATATCTGGAATTCTACACATGGTTGGCCACAAAAATGGGCATGCAGTCATCCCTGTTATGACTGTACATACACAAACATACAAGGCTTTAGTACCACAACTGATCCCTTCTACCCACCACACAATATGCCGCTAAGACTGGTGATCAATACATCAACAGACAGCAACAAGCTTGGACCCAGACAGAGGTAAGCATTCAGTCATATACTGCCTGATGGAATATAACGGTGGACTTATTTGTTCCCCATCACTGAGTCTACATTTGGTAGTGTAATTGTACAGCCTGGCCAGTGATTAGCACTGTCACCCTGCAGAAAGAAGGTTCCGGGTTTGAACCTTGCATTCGCCTGGGCCCTCTCTGTGTCAGCCTTTTGATAAACCCACCCCCCAACCCCCACGGCTCTCTATATGATAAGCAGTTTAAATAATGAAGGGATGGATGGATGGACTGTATAGTCTGAAGAGGGCTTTCTTAAGCAGAGACGAATCATTCCATCTTGTATCAAGAGAAAGTTGTAAGAGGAGAGTGTTACTTTGCTGCTGTTGGCACATTCTGTTGTTTTCAGGAACTGTGTGTGTGTGTGTTTGGTGGGGGCTTTGAAAAAGAACTGTGTATTTACAGTAAAGCTCTTCCTGTCCAGGTGGTGGGGCTTATCAGGTGTTTCTGTCAACAGCGCTGTCCTGCCACTCTTCACCACATTCTGCACTTTCCGCACCCATCAAAACAATGGTCTCACTACTCCAGAACATCCTGTACAACTCAACCAAAATAGTGCTTTTTTAAACCACTGCTAGTCTGACCTTTAGTAACACCGACACGTTCTCAGCTGCAGGTGTGTGAGTGGGTGTGGTATCAGATCCAGAGAGCCTACCCAGCAGGAGGTAAACACATGACTGAGGTAGCTGAGTTCAAATCATGCACCGTGAATGATAGAAATGGTGTCAGTTTGTAGACTTTGACTTGGCAATGACACGTCAGTCGCTCAACCATTTAAGAAGGAATTAAATACAGTCCTTTCCCTGATAAGCTGATTGTGTTACTTTACAATGAAGGTGTGATCAATACGTACAGTATTACACACAGCCTAAGAATCAATTACTTAAAGTATGTGTGGAAACCTCATCTTTTATTTTTACTTTTTTCATTTATATTAAGTATGAGCATGTACACTGATATTGTATTAACTGCACTGTGTCACCTGCTTGTTTTCCTTATTGTTGTAATGTAATTTTTTTTCCATGTGCTCAGAGTTACATCACCTCCTCAGTATTCCCATTTAAGAGTTAATAATAAATTTCTTGGGACCACATTTGACAAGGAAGCATGAAGTGCTCTACAATGTCTTGGTAAATGGGTACAGTGACTGTGGTTTGCAAAAAACACAGTGGACCAACACCAGCAGATGGCATTGCACCCCAAACCATCACAGACTGTGGAAACTTAATACTGGACTTCAAACAACTTGGGCTATGAGCTTCTCCACCCTTCCTCCAGACTCTAGGACCTTGGTTTCCAAATGAAATACAAAACTTGCTCTCATCTAAAAAGAGGACTTTGGACCACCAGGCAACAGTCCAGTTCTTCTTCTCCTTAGTCCAGCTAAGACGCCTCTGCTGTTGTCTGTGGTTCAGGAGTGGCTTGACAAGAGGAATACGACAACTGTAGCCAGATTCCTTGACACGGCAGTGTGTGGTGGCCCTTGATGCCTTGACCCCAGCCTCAGTCCATTCCTTGTGAAGTTCACCCAAATTCTTGAATCGATTTTGTTTGAGAAGCCTCTCAAGGCTGCGGTTCTCTCGGTTGGTTGTGCATCTTTTTCTTCCACACTTTTTCCTACCACTCAACTTTCTGTTAACATGCTTGGATACAGCACTCTGTGAGAAGGCCACTGTCAAAGAAACCTGGGCTTCCATACCACCTCAGCATTGCCACAGACTGATCACTTCCCTGCCACACCGGATTGAGGCAGTAATTAAAGCAAAATGAGCCCCTACCAAGTATTGAGTACATATACAGTAAATGAACATACTTTCCAGAAGGCAAGCAATTCACTAAATGGTTTTTTTATAGGTCTTGTGACGTATTCTAATTTATTGAGATAGTGAATTGGTGGGTTTTTGTTAAATGTGAGTAAAATCACAATTAAAAGACCCAACGGCTTAAACTACTTCAGTCTGTGTGTACTGAATTTATATAATACATGAGTTTCACTATTTGAGTTGAATTACTGAAATAAATAGACTTTACCATGATATTCTAATTTATTGAGATGCACCTGTATAACGCTACACTTTTTCATATGGAAACAAGCTTAAGTTGCTTAAACACTGAATTTGGAACAAGCAAAGCTTAATAATATAAACACACGAGGAATCAAATTTCAAATAAAAAACACATCAGTGGCATTCATTTCTTATTGTTATTTAAATAAATTAAATAAAATAAATTCTTATGCCTCTCTATCTGTAGCCTTTCGAGTTACACATTTGGACAACTCCTCAAGGAGTTCTCTTCCTGTGGTTGTGCCATGCACCGCTTTTAATCCCAAAGGTTCCTCTGTAACGCAGACTCGAGTCCACTCCACGGATGAAGATTGACAGCTGGGCAGTATCAGATGCGTCGCTGCTCTCATCCACAGAAAGGGAGTATGCAATAAAATCTTTTCCCTTTTCCATCAGCTGTTTGTGAAGATTGGTGGCAAGCTCACATTCACGATCAGCCACAGTGTTTCTGCTAAGGCTCACATTTAAAAATGCTTGCCTTTTATCTGGGCACATGACATCACAAACTTTGATCATGCATTTTTTGACTAACTCTCCCTCATTAAAGGGCCAGGCTGATTTAGCTATCTCTGCTACCACAACAACACTAGCCATTACAGCAGCCTCACTTTGTGATTTTGCATTTTCTGCCGTGAAACCAGACTTCTTTTCATCTCCTCTACCTTCTGGAGCTTCTGCTTCATGTCCGGGTCCTTGTACTTGTCTTGGTGTTTCATTTCATAGTGTCTTCTTATTTTATATTCTGTCGTGACAGCCACGTTGGCTCCGCACACAAGACAAACAGGTCTGTCCTTTACATGAATGAACAGATAATCTTCCTCCCACCTGTCTTGAAAGCTTCCGTTTTCCATCTTTTGTTTGGCCAGTTTTTGGGAGGGGTGCATTAAATTTGCCCGAGGTGCCTGGTAGCATGAGGTTGCTAATGTCAACAGAAGGTGTTTGCTGGTCTTGATTGACGCACCAACGCACTAGCAAAGCATTCTTAGATTTGCAGTATTAGCAGTGCATGCGATATATACTGGTGGGCCAGCTCTAATAAACATTTGAAATTATCTCACAGGCCAAATATACTTACACCGTGGGCCAGATTTGGCCCGCAGGCCTGAGTTTGACATATATGGTCTAGACCTTCATGGCTGTCCAAAAACTATTATAAAGGCACATCACTGGGTGGCATGTTTCTTTCTCAGGAAAAATGATACCTCTGTCTGTTTTCAAAAAGATCTCCAAAGGCTAAATGGCAATGTGATGTGATGGGCATCAAAACACCTGTACTCATTATTTGCAATACAAGCCCACACACCGGCGGCAAACTGACATTATTTACATTTCACTGGAGTGGTTTATTGTCACATTTGGCAGACCCCCTGCCATCACTCCATCAAGGCTGTCAATTTCCAATCATTTGTCTGGGTCCTGGATATATTCAGCAGCAGCAGCAGTTAAAAGAAGATGATGCTCAAAGATGTAAGAACAAAGTCTATGCTTTATGCAGCACATCACTGCAGGGTCCAGGTTCCCTGAAAAGAAACTGGAATGATGCTTCTACAATAAGCCAAAATAAAAATACATTTTAAAAATTGCTTTTCCTTGGTGTCCTCGATGTCAGTTGTGAATTTGTACATTTTGAATTTGATTATCTCATCTGAATTTGGACAAGCATATCTGAGATGCAAGTTTTTGAGTTGGCATGAACTTTTAGATCTGAATTGAGTATAGTTCTTGAATATTTATGCACAAATATTTCCTACCTGGATATGAGAATCCTGAAATAACATATACTCAAATTTTAAATTATGACATAACTTGAAACTGATTATTGAGAATTTCACAAATTTCAGCCCACATAAATTCAGAAAGATGGATTTCAAAGTGAGTTATTACAGTGTAATAAATTTAGTTGCATTTAAATTTCAAAGCAAATTATTCAGTAGTGATAAATTTCCAAAATATATTATTCAAGTGCTGATAAAATTCAGATCGTTATGTCATACATTTGCTTCCATAAAAAAATGATAATTTGCTAATGGTGTTTTTTTTTTTCCAGGGTCTAACTATTGAAGATATTGGCTGTTCTGTGGGCCATACCCTCCAAAAATGTCATCAAAATCCATTCATTACTTTTGACCTATGCTAAACAAGCAAACCAACAAATCCTGGCAAAAACAAGGCAGCAGTAACAACTGCTTTGGTGACTAAAATGATTTCAGGTTATTTGCTTCCTCTTGGTGTTGTCGAGGGAGTGAGGGTGGAGTTTTTGGAACCTGAATACACCACGCCTTCATAAAAGACAATTACTGAGCAAACTGAAAAAGTAAAATGAAGCAGTTACTGCTCTAAAAAAAAAGATTGATGGAAGCAAAGAAAGCAGCAATAACAAGCGATACATGGACAGCTCTCATGTTGGAGTCATATGTCACCTCCACTGATTGCATATAAATATGGACGCCATGACGGCTCCCAAAAGTGAAACCACCGTGACTCAAACATCCACTGGTGGCTGATTGAATAATAGGTCATAGATCCCACCTGTTCCAAATTGGTGGTGACCATAACTAAAATCTCAAAAGACAGTTCAGAAAATAGTTTCCCAGAAGTGAGTTCTGTCATTTTTGACAGAAAGTAACACATTCTTTAATACATTATTTGATGACATAAAAAGGGTGTACTTTGGATGATCTGACAGCTTTGATTGGCAGTCTGATACATTATTCAACTACTTGGGTGCTGCAGTGGAGAATTTGGTGGCAAAATGCCAAGATGGCAGCCACCGTACTTATGGTTCACTTTTGAAAATTGCATATTAGAGGGAATTGGTGATGAATCATCCATATACAGACAATGGTCACCACTGGTTTCTAATGTTAACCCTACTTTCTGGACTCAGAGCCTTGCAACTGAACTTTCATTCATATCACATAAATGATATGATAGAGCATAATTAATTTAAGTCAATTAACTTAAGAGGTTTTAACCAAAGAGACTGTGAAAAAGAAAAGATGTGCCAAAGTCATGAGCTACATCTTTATTTCTCAATAGTTCACACAATTAAACTTTCTAGCTTTTTAAGAATCTGTTTTATGAAATTCTCACAAAAAAGCAATGCAGAAGTTTTCTTTAAAAAAAAAAAAAAAAAAAAACACCTCAAACACTGAATTCCTGCCTCCATCTTGATGATGACTGGTGAACTGTGGAAACGCCAAGGACAATGATGGAAATAAGTTCAGGACTTGGTCATACTAGCCCTGACAATATGTTGTATTTTTTTTTATTTTTATAAATCATCAGTATCAAAACCAAATCAGCTACATTCGACTACCAAACATGATATCAAACAAAACTGTTGGACATGTGAGAGGATGGAGAGAGAGAGAACTGGGAAAGGCTGATTTTCTAAACCTACTGGGGCATATAGTTCCTCAGTTCCTATCATTTCTATCCAGACCCTCTTGTAGCTGCTGCTGTCAATATGAACACATGAATAATACAAAAAAATCTTCACAAGCTCAGTTGTAACAACTAGAGCAGCTGTAAGTTGGCATATCTGCCTGCTTTACCTGAATGGCAAGTATGTTTGTTGTTTCATTGATTATATAATCATGCTACCTCTCTCTGAGTCATCCTGCCCTGTAAAAACTGAAGCACCCCACCAAGCACATTAGTTTAGGAGAAATGGAGTACATTGGCAACTGGAGAAAGTTAATTTAACCATATTCAGATATTTGCTTCTTTTCTTAGGAATTCTTATCTAAGTTTGATTTGATTTGATTTGATTTATTCTTTCAAGCATGTAAAAAAATGCACATAATTTTACACATATCCAACAAATGCTAATCCAATATCAATTTGCTTATACCTAGTACATGCTTGAATGGAGTAGGAAGAAGTCAGACTTATCCAGTCCTACCCCATGACATCATCTTACCATCATTAGTTTGCAAGCAGTAAATGATTCACTTCTACACCACACAAGTATTATACTAAAAAAAGATTATAACAGTGTGTTAACATTCTTACATAATTACATTCTTAAATAATTATCTTCTACACCGAACACAGGTAATATACTAAAGAATTATTACAAAGTGTTAACAGTCATACACCACACCCACACTGTTCCATGTAATTAATCACTGAGCCTGTTCTTGCATATATCTTGATTGACATATACCTTTATATTTATGTTTAAACTCGTCATTCTATTACTATTTTTTATGTCTACACTTAAATTATTCCATAGTTTTGCCCCACTTATGGAAATACAAAATCTTTTTTGGTTGTACGTATAGCATGAATTTTTAAATTTACCTGACCCCTTAGTTTGTTTAATTTCATATTTGCAAAAATCTATATGTAAAACTAGACTTCTTCACTTGAGAGATCAGTTACTTACATTTGTTTTGGGTGAAGGGAACATACCTCTGTTTTTTAAGTTAAACAGTTTTAATCAGTTTTGTTAATAATATTACCAGTGCATGAAAATGTACTCATATATCCTATATGATGTACTACATGAACATTATACCTCTACATTTGAACTAAAATCAAAAGTGCATTTCTGGAAAGGTCTCATACTTTTTTGCCAATGCAGCATCGCCTTCATAAGGTGTGTCTTCCTCCTTTAGCCATCAACTGACCATCACAACACCACCAGCTGCAAATGACAGCGTGGCTACATGCTAGTTATACTATAACATTGTCTGTAACTGTCTGGCTGATGTTTCCTTCACAAAGAGAATATTTTCCTACTGGTTTTTGGTTTAACATGAACTTACTGACGTTAGTAGTTTGTTACCTTAGTTAAGAGTGCAAGTGCAATACAATCAACATTTTGGAACAAAATGTCAAATATTAGACGCCTTCGTTCATCATTAAGGAAGAGAGAGTAGCTAGCAGTCCGTCATTCATTAAAAGAAATGAACCAGTAGGTAATGTTTCCCTAGCGGTCCTCCCCACTGGCTGCCTGGTAGTGCTCGGTGATGCCCCAGGGCTGTCAGCCTTGGCCTAGCTTAGCACACTCTTCACTGTTAGTATACATACTGGAGGGCCAACGTTACCTTGGTGTTGACAAGTCTGGTGTCCCATGCCGGTCTCAGCTCTTTAATAAGCTTCATCGCCCCCTCCGTCACGTTGTGTTCGTCCACGAAAATGGGTATTTTTCTTATAACAGGCGACCCAACGGGCACATGTATCTGCGTCTCCATCCTGCAAGCGGCTATCTAAAAGCGTAGCGTTAACCTCTGAGCCCTTCGCTGCTATTTCTAGCAAATAGAGCATGCAAATGTTGCTTGGTGTATATGCAGCTGAATGCTGATTTATTTGTTGAACGATGGATGTATTTTTTTCCTTTCAAGATATATATCTTGTCTGATTGCTATATTAGTAACGGTGAGCTGGAAGGCGCGGCAGCTGTACGATGAAACTGCCGGGTACCGATTCTCGTCGCCGGCTTTCTTGGTACATTCAGCCAACTGTACCGTTTCCTCGTAGTTGGCTCCGCCCACCTTTGATCATCCGATTGTACCGCCGGTGGGGTACGCCCATTATTTCCGAGTGGCTTCCGGGTTTAGCCGAATAGTTAAAAGTTTTACGTGCTGCTGCCTTTATGGAAAACTGCAGTTTAGGAAATTGGGCAATTGATTCGTTTTTAAGAACAATGAACGGCAAGGATGTCGCCATAATGCCACGAACTAATGTAGGCATACTGACAAATTTACTAAACATTACTTTCTCTTTGGAGCAGGTTTTCCCCTTTTTTTTCAGACTAGCTTTGTGAGGTGCAGCTGCAAAGCAGTGTTATTGTTCTACTGATGGAATGAGCAGCTGTCTTCAGGTCATAGTGTGTTTTTGAGAAAAGACAAAGTAAATATACTGTAACAACATGGGCTTTTTGGTCCAATATAGCAGTGGTTCCCAACCTCTGGGTCCTGACCCCCATTGGGGGGCGCCAAAACCTTTTTAATATTTATTGATTTGTTTCTTTAGTTACAGTATTTGGTTAATTTCTGTGAGGGAAAAACTAGATGTAAGAGTTATTTTATATAATCATTTTTTATTAAAAAAATTCAAAGCTGAAATCTAGATTTTCAGATGATAATGAATGTATGGGTGGTGGACCCATTTCTTGCAAAAGACGAGGATATGGAATACCTCCAAGTTAAGGATGCGCTCATGGATATCAAGTTAAATTCTCTCCTCAAGACATTCTATGCTGGATACAAACAGTTTTGGCTTTTGAACCGGACATCATCCCAAGGCTAAATATAGGCTAAGGAAAAACATCTGATATATTGCAGTGCACACAGGAAATAACTTCAAACTTTAAGAAAAAAACATGCTAGGCATACACAAACTTACTGCAGGTATTAAGCTCACTGTTGGGGTTCATTGTACAATGTATAATGGCTCCAGTGTTGAGGTTGCAATAGATAAATTATGAAACTTCTATAAAATAAATTTTAAAAGAAGTACTCTATTTTTCTATTTGTTATTGTGTGGTTGATGAAATGGCACTGTCAGCAATGACCAGCCAGCTCAGGAAGTTGGACCTGCCCCAGGAGCTGCTGATACAGTTCTACAGAGGAATCATCGACTCTGTTCTCTGCACCTCCATCACTGTCTGGTTTGGCTCAGTAACCAAACAGGACATGTACAGATTTCCAGCAGACAGTCAGGACCGCAGAAAAGATCACTGGTGTGAGCCTGCCCTCCATGGAGGACCTGGAGGACCTGTACACCTCACGGGTCAAAAGGAGGGTGGAGAGGATCACTGCACCCTTCATACCCTGGACACAAACTGTGTGAACATGACTGTATAACCAAACAACAACATACGTGCAATACCTTGTAAATATAATTTTGTATATATCTATCTGGAAAACTACATCTAAACTGTGTGTATATACTGTACACATATTTCTATATTTATAAGTACTTTATTTTTTATTTTCCTAATACACATTTTGCACATTCTTTTTTGTTTGTTTGTTTTCCCAGTTGTATCTTGTTTACTTGTTTACTCATTGCCTTATGGAAGGACATTGTACATGCAGACTGTACCAGAGGCCAGTTCCTTGTGTGTCCAACACACCTGGTCAATAAAGCTGATTCTGTTTCCAATGACAAAACAGGGGTCTATTTAGGAAAATGGTTGGGAACCACTGTGGTTTCTAGTACCTTTAAATTGGTGGAAATGGAGGCTACTGATGGTTTTTAGGGGGCGAGCAGTGGAAGAAATTACTCAGATTGTTTAGTTAAATAAAAGTAGCAATACCACAGGGTAAAACTATTCTGTTACAAGTAAAAGTCCTGCCTTGTAAATAAAAGTTCAAAAGTATTAGCATCAAAATATAGCCTAGGCCACTTATTATATCAAAAGGAAAAGTCCTCATTAAGCAGAATTGCACATTTCATATTAATGAATATTATATTGTCAGATTATAATTACTGATGCATATTGTATAGTAAAAAGTATTTGCCATCACACTGAAAAAACTTTAGTACTGTATGTGAATGTAAATACAAAAAAAAATTAAGTCCCATTAATTTTGGCATAAAAGGGACATACAGTAGCAAAATGTAGTAGAGATCAATAAGATTTTATTTAGAAGGGGGAAATTAGGTGTTAGCCTACAGCATCACAGTATACACTCCAGTCAATAACACTAAACAGATCAAAGGAAATAAGACACTAGGCGAGATACACAATAAATACACAATTAAATTTAAGATATACTAAGTAGTTATAGAGTGTATACAGTAGGTACAAAAAACCAAGGCAATAAATCAAAATGAAATAGAGTACCCTACGGTATATAAATCCAGTATGTTGTATGTGGACTGATGTAGGATATGTGCAGAAAACATAACCTCAGCCAAGAGTCCTGACTTCAGAAAGCAACATGAAGACAAACTATACATTAACAGTTTACATGAACTATCAATTTGAACTCATCAAATAACACCAACACTGTCAGATTCAAGTCACTGTATCCTAAACTAAATTATGTTGTGCTGAAGGAAGACTACATTAAGGTTCAAATTAGCACATCAACAATCAGCATTACAGATTAAATGTTTGGAATTGACCAGCAACCTTCATAATGGTAGTAGCAACTTTTAATCAAACGAGGGCAGTATAGTAATGTCTTTGCTGAGTGGTGCAAATATTAGGAAAGGTTACAGTGAAGGAGGGATTTCTCTTTGTTAGGGTGATGAGGAAATCAGCTTCTGTCAGCTGTTTCAGCTGTGCTTTTTCTTATCACTTTGACTATGAATGTATTCTGTTACTCTAGAAACTAGTTGAGATATGTTTCTCCTGTCTAATAAAGATCCATGTCAGACAAACAGTCTGTTACAGATGATGTTTCAGGTGCCCTCTTTTGCACACTCAGGTGGGATCTAGCGGAGATGGTGTGAGCTCTAATCAGAAATGCCGCTCATTTGCATTCCCATCTACTGTATGTATCCACATATGAGTATACTAGTGCTAAATATAAATCAGCCATTTAAAGAAAATCTCTGAACCACCTCTGGGATTTCTGAAACAACGGAACGTATTATACACTGTGAACATTGGGTTATAGAATTTAATCTGTTTTTTATGTATATGATTTTGGATTATACCAGAAGTTTTCAACCAGTGGTCCACAGTGCCCTGGTGGTCCACAAAGGCACTGCAGTGGTCCCCGACCATATATTCAATAATGTAGTTTGACTGAAGGAATCTTTAAAAAAAAAATAAATTTAGACACATTTTGCATTACTTATTGTTTGGAATAATCAAATTCATGCAAATATATAACATTTATAAAACACCATGGTGATTTTCAGTATTAAAATAGCACCCATTTGGTTTATCTACCACACAACAGTGTTACTTGTTTGAGAGGGCAAAAACACACCAAGCCAATGTGAAAGAAATAGCACTGATGTAGGCCAACTGTTGTGTCATCTCATGCCACCTTTGTCTGGGCTAGTCAGGCTGAAAAGGTGGCACTTGAACACACCGCACAGAGTACAGTCAACTAGCATGTACGTTCGGCACCTGCATGAGAAAAATACTGTAGCTTTTCCTACCAAAAAGTGGCAGTAGCTATATTCCCCTTTCAGAAAGGGAAATAAGAAGAGCTAGATAGAGGAAACAAAAGCTGTAAACAAAGCAGCTCTCATATAACATAGCTGCTATTTAGAGTGGCTTCTAATTGAGAATATGTCTGATAAGAAGTTACAAATGGCACTGGCTCTTGGTCTTTTGGTTGTGGAACATTTCTCTCCTCGTACATTGATTCACTAAGCCTACCAGCCAATCAGAGTGGGCTCCCTTGCCAACAAGGCCCAGTGCTGATTCAATATGGCTTGGTGTGTCACGGGCCGTAGTCAAAATGGTAGCACTTGGATCACAATCAGTTGAAAACGCCTGGCTTTTATTAAAAAGATTTGAACAAAGCATTTTAAAGGCTAGACATTTTTGCTGTTATATCCAGTCTTTACCACTGAGTTTCATCACTCCATTCATTTACTTCCATCTCATGAGTTACCTACCACTGCTGTGGCTCCTCTCATCATGGACTCTGTGCTTGTGACTCTGCCGGATGTTACTGAAGTCTCATCAGAGTCACAGTCAGTGAACAATGATATACACAAATGCAAACGTCCAGTCGCATTGAATCTGCTCAAACTTGCCAGAGGCAATCACTTGATTTCATGCAAGGGTTTGACTTTGTGTGTGTGTGTGTGTGTGCACACTAAGCCAGACTACATAAACAAGTCCACAGGAAGTTTGGAGAATATTTTGTACCTCTGTTTACTGCTTGGGAGGAGAGACAGTCAAGAGTCTAAACGCAAAATCTCCCCATAACATTCTTACTTCAGTAGCCTTATGCATTCACCCTCTGCCAAACAGTGCACTGGTTTGGCCTCTCCTGTATATTTCTGACCACTGACTCACACACACTGAATACAATCCAGCCAGACCAATCAGCTGGTGGCTTTGCAAGTGGACCTAGAATAGCTATAAAAAGTTACAAATACAAAATGAAAACCTATGTTTGTGCTTTCCTCAATATGAATACTGTCAAGTCTAAGGCACAGGAAGGACCCAAATATACAGACACGGGCCAAGGAATAGTTAAAGTAGAACTGTAATATACAGGATACTGAACAAAAGACTATGGGTAACTAAAGGAGCTAAACCTGACAAAGCATAACCCAGAATATTGACAAAACCTACAACTAAACAGTTCAGTCAGGGAGCTAGGTAAATGAACTCAAACAAACCCAAAGACAAAAACTGAAGATTCACAAGGGCAGGTAAGTCCAAAATCCAAGGGGAAAGAGGCTAGACATACAGTAAACAGGGCAGATGCAGCCAGTGCTTACAGTATTAACACATACAGGCAGTGCAGTGCACAGACCGAACCAACATCTAATTGAGGGGAAGTGAGCAGACTATAAAGGCTGGACTGGGAGCTAACAAGCAACAGGTGAAAGTAATGAGTGACAATCA